GTGTGTGTGTGTGTGTGTGTGTGTGTGTGTGTGTGTGTGTGCGTGTGCGTGTGCGTGTGCGAGTGTGTGTGTGTGTGTGTGTGTGTGTGTGTGCGGGTGCTAGCAGGTGTGTATGCCCTACATGTGCCACATGGCCAGCGCAGTCACTCTGCCTAGCCGCCGACGCAACAAAAAGAGTGTGCGTGTGCGTCTTCGCCTCCCTCTCCTGCACACGAGACGCATTGCCTATCGGTTGCCCCGATTGGCACCGCGCTGGTGCGGATTGCCTCCGCCTCGCCGCCGACGAGGTGCGCGTGCGCGCGCGTGCGTGCGGGCGTGCCTGCGTGCGTGCGTGCGTGCGTGCGTGCGTGCGTGCGTTGGTGTGTGTGTGTGTGTGTGTGTGTGTGTGTGTGTGTGTGTGTGTGTGTGTGTGTGTGTGTGTGTGTGTGTGTGTGGGGGTGTGCGTGTCTGTGTGTGTGTTTGTGTCGCAGCCAGCGTCACTGCCGCTGGCCGAACGTTGACGGGAGCGGCTGCGGCCAACGTCGCCAAATCTTCGCGTGCGGATCCCCATGTGATGGACCCTCTCTTCTATGTAAGTTCCTGTGCGGCGACGGCCATGACTCGGATTACAAGCCCATGCGTGTGGAACGATATGTGTGTGAACCCTATGGCGGTGACTGCGAGAACTAGGCTTGCCAGGTCAGTTCCTGACTTACGGCGCCTGGTCAGTCTTTTGCAGAAGTAAACCTCCTAAGGCTTAGTGAAGTGTAGTGTAGCAATGGGTATGTGTGGCGTGCTCGATAGCATCCAGTCCCTCCTCTCGCTGGCGGCTTTCCTGTAATTCTTTCTGCTGCCATGCTGGACTGGTAATGGCTGTCTTCAGGTGTTCGAGCCCCCGCTAGTTTCTCGTAAACCAAGGTTGCTTGTGCGATCATAACTAGTTGAACTTGATGTGTGCGCGCTCTGAGGCTTTACCGAAGCCGCACCGAGAGGGTGACGGCGCTGCGCACCCGTCCCCGTAGTCGGGGCAGCTCTTGCTGCAGGGGCGACAGTTCGGTTCAGTTCATACCCCGCCGCATGCCAGCCCTGGCGCCATCCCCAGACCTCCGACTTTGTGTTCGCTGCGCAACGTGCACACCCAGAGGTTTCGACCGCCGTCCCAGCACCACCATTTCATCCCGAGTCGTTGCCTGACGGTGCCAGGGGCTGGTGAGGGCCTCCAGACTTCGAAGCATGCCAGAGGCTATCTTGTTTTTTGTTGTTGCTGTTCTTGCTCGGCGTGCTTTTATTTGCAACGCCGCGAGGAGGTCTGGGCCCTGTCCCCCGCCGCAGGCCAGGTCAACCCAGGGCCGTCCCCACTCCCCACCGCCACTCCCCTGGGCCTGGCTTTCCGCCCCTTGAGGTCCGCGCCGCGGGGCAAACAAAAATGCAACCGCGTACCCAGACCCCCTCGCGTTGTGAAAAAATCACGACGGGAGGTTTTTCATTCTTTTCGGCCTTTGGGGGCCCCTACCGGGCCTCGGGACCGTCAAATGACGACTCAGGATAAAAAACCGGTCCCGGGGAAGGGGTCCAAACCTTTGGGGGTCGGCGTTGTGGCAAAAATCACGACGTCGGGGTCTGGGGAGGTGGATAGCATCCAGCCCAACCTCCCTGAGATCCTGGCGACCCAATTCTTTCGAGCTGGGCGTTTTCGCTCAACTTCGGGCCCAGGGACCCTCGCAGGTCGATCTGGCTCGAAAAATGTAGCAGAAAGACGGGGTCCAGGGGTCCAGTCGTTTTTTTATTGCGATGTGGCAGAATTTTTCCAACGTCGGATCTCAGGGAACCTCGCTCCTGAGTTGGTTACAGATGCCCTATCTTCGGCCACGCGCAGAAGGGGTTAGGCGGCGGGGGGAAGGCTTCTTAGAGGCACCCCTGCTTTTCAGACGGCGCGGGCCTTCTCTATAGACGTAAGGCCGGCGCCTTCTAAGAAGCAGCCTCCTTCTCGCCTCAGCATCCACTGCTGCGCCCCCCATCTCCGCAGCAACCGTCGCGGTCAGCCCAGTGCCGCGGCGCCAGCCGCCAGACCGCCCTGTGCCGCGGCGCCTCGCCACGTCGGCTGGACCGCGCTCCCGGGGGAGGCGGCTTGGTCGGGCGGGGCCAGGCCGAGGACGCATCCGCTCCAGAGCGTTCCAGAACGCTGTCGGAGGGCTCCGTAACGCTCTGAGAGGGCCGCGGCGCCCGAGGCATCCTTCAGAGCCGCCGGGTCTCAGAGAATCTCGATTTATCCTCGCCCGATTTTGTCCTTATCCTGGCTCGGTCTTCTCTGGCGAGGGGCGACCAGTCTTCTCTCACGCGCCGAGAAGCCCCAAGGGGTCCGCGACCTTGTTCACGACAGCGAGGGGCGGGGGTCTCGGATCCTCTGGACGCCGCGCGCCGCGCGCCCTTTTGAGCGACGCCAGAAGACGGTGTCGTCGGCGCCGACGCTCGCGCGCAAGCTGCCCGCGCAAGCCCGCGCGTCAGCGCCCGCGTCTCCGATGTGGCGTGCCGCGCCGGCGGCCCGCGTACGCCGCCGCGTGAGGTCGCTACGCCACATCTCGCGTGAGACTTGTCTTTGATCGTCACAGCCACGCGCAGAGGGGGGCGGGGGGAGGGGGGAGGGCTTCCTAGAATCACCCCGGCTTCTTAGAAGGCGCGGGCCTTATCTTCAGATGTAAGGCTGGTGCCTTCTAAGAAGCAGCCTCCTTCTAAGAAACCCTCCCCCCTCCCTCCACCCCCTTGTGCGCACCGCCACATCTCGCGTGAGACTTGTCCTTGATCTCAAGGGAGGAAAAACCATCTATACCGGACAATTGGCGTTTACTAAACGGCCCCGGGCGTTTACTAAACAGCCCTGCCCTGTTCGATTCCTTCTTTGGGCGCGTTCACTAAACGACTTCGCCTGTCAGGGTGGTTAATCTGGGGGTGGATTCTTTGACCTCTATGATCGTCGCTCCTCTGGGGTCCGCGGTGCCCCGCGCCACAGGCGAGCCCAGGGCCCTCCCCGCACCCAGCGGCCGCCGCGTCGCCCGCCGACGTGCCCGCGGCCAGCCCGGCCCCCACGGGCGCGCCGGCGCCGCCGGTCGCGGTCCGCCCAGCCTCGCCCGCTGCGGCACCAGCCCCGCCGCCGGCCGCCCTGTGGCGGCCTCGGCGGCCCTCCAAGACGTCGTGCTTTTTTTGGGTTTGTTATTTGTTTCTTTCCTTCTTGGTCAACACACACACGCACTTTTTGCTTCGGCGGCTGGGCAGAGGGCGACTGCTCTGGCGGCCTGGCCACAGGGGACACGCTGTACGCAAATTAAGGCCGCAATGCACGGAAGGAGGAGGAGGAGGAGGAGGAGGAGGAGGAGGAGGAGGAGGAGGAGGAGGAGGAGGAGGAGGAGGAGGAGGAGGAGGAGGAGGAGGAGGAGGAGCCCCGGAACGGTCAACACAAACACACACACACACCCATACGCATAGGGGGGGCGGTCGGAGGAGGCTATGGGTGTGTGTGTGTGTGTGTTGTCAGATGGGGGCTTCCGTTCGAGCGGGGGGCTCCCCCAGGGTCAGTATCCACAGCCAGTCCCCCTCCGTCCGACCTCCCTATGGATACGTGTGTGTGTGTGTGTGTGTGTGTTGTTTTCCGGCACCGCCAGCACCCCGGGCCCCGCCCTCTCCGGCCGCCTGAGGCCCCGCCCGCCTGTGCCCTGTCTCCCCAATTAGAGCTGTGCGTAGCCCGCCTAGCTTTTAGCGGAAGAGGTTCGCTCTCGCCCCGCCGACCAAAGTGTGTGTGTGTGTGTTGTTCATTCGTCACTCTTTGCGTTTTTCTTTTGTTTCGGCCTCCTGGGGCCACTTCTGGGCTCCCAGACTATCAAGAGTGGACATGGGGACGAGAAGCGACCCTCGGGGGAGTGGTCGAGATCTCCCCGTGGACCACGGATGGAAAAATGGATCCATCGGATGCTTGGGACCCACCCCTGCTGCTGCCCCAACTCTGGCTGCCAGAGGGGGGCAGGGCATGGGTAAAAACTTGACCTCCAGTAGCTGGACTTTTCCCAACCCTCCTGCGCTGGTTTCTAGTTTTGAACAGAGCACTGGGGTCGCGTCTTCCTTCTCCTCCTCCCGCCTCCCTTCTCCTCTCCCCCCGCTCCTATGTTGTGCCAGCTACCCTGCCTCCTTCCTGCCTTCTACACTGCCTCCTACCTGCCTGCTAAGTTACCCTGCCTCCTCGCCATCCCTGGGGGGCTGTGAACTACGAAACTGTCGCAACTTTCCAGGGCTGCTGGGGGGTCAGCGCAGTGGCACCTTACCGCAGGCTCAGATTAGATCTCGCCATCCTTGGGGTCTGCGACCTGCTCGGCATGGAGACGGAAAGCGCGGGTTCTTCCTGTGCGGGCGCGAGGTCGCTTGCTTAGTGCCTTGGAGCCCTGTTGGTGTGAAGACTTCGGTACGACACACAAAAATCTAGCAACCAACCTTGCGAAAATAGATTAACATTTCATTTCCGGGCCTTCTGGGGGTCCTTTTGGGGCTCGTTTGGGCCGTTTGGGGGCCCTTTTGAGCCGTCCCGGGACCCGGGGCCCTCTGGAAGCCCTTGTGGGTTCCCTTGGGGACCTCCTGTGGCCCTCTTGGGGCTCTCTTGGGAACTTTTTGGGACCCCCAGGGGCCTCTCTTGGGCCGTCTTGGGGCTCTCTTTGGCCGTCTTGACGCCCACTTGGGCCGTCTTGGGGGCCTCTAGGGCCGTCTTGGGGCGGTCTTGGGGGCCTCCTGGTCCGTTTTGGACGCTTAGAAGACCAAAGAAGCGGACATGCTAACAATGTACGTGTTCCCTAGGGAAAGGGACGATTTTTGCCTCTTGGGGGCTCCCTTTGGGGGCCTCTTGGGGCGTCTTGGGGGCCCCTCTTGGAGCGCTCTTGGCCCGTTTTCGGGCCCTCTTGGACCTCTCCGACGCCGTCTTGGAGGTATCTTGGGCGCTTTTGGGGCCGTCTTGGGCCGTCTTGGGGCCTCTTACGCGCTCTTGGGGCTGGCTTGGGCCGTCTTGGGCCTGACAGCGGAGTGGCGCTTTACCACAGATTCAGATTAGATCTCCCCAGCCCTGGGTTGCGAAGTGCGAAACAGTCGCCATTTTCGGACAGCTGGGGGTTCCAGCAGAGTGACGCCTTACCGCAGATACAGGATAGACCTCCTCTTGGAGTGCTGCGAACTGCGGAATTAGGGGGTCCAGCGGATTGACGCCGTACCGCAGATTCAGATTAGACATCGCTTGGGGTCTGCGATCTTTGGAGCTGTCGCCACTTTCGAGGGCTGCTGGGGGTCCAGCGGAGTGACGCCTCACAGCAGACTCAGATTAGACCTCGCCGTCCATCCCTGTGGGGTTGCGAAGTGCGCATCAGTCGCCATTTTTGAGGGCTGCTTTGGGTTTGTGTTTCAGCGGAGTGGCGCCTTTCTGCAAACTCGGGTTAGCCTTCGCCAGCACTGTTCGCTCGTGCCGTAGGCTGCGGCAGCCCATGGGCGTGCATACTGGCATACTGGCATATCAACTATGACAGCAAACATGGCGCACTTTGTGGCGCCACGCGGAGGCGTCATTCACTGCATCTCGGAGCCGGCTGCTGTCCCAGGCCAGACGGATTGCGCCGGGCAGCACATTTCGGACCCATTCTCTCCTAGGTGCTCTAACTCTGAGGACGTACCTGTCGGTAGCGGGGGGGAAGGAGAGGACCTGCTTGTACGTGACCTCTCGCATGTCTGAGCTTTCCGGCTGGCGCAGGACACGCCCCAATAGAACGAGTTGTCTGCTTCAGGGTTGCCCAGAGGCTGTCTCGAAACCCGCGCGCTGCAAGACGGTGGCGTTAGATATTCTGGAAACGACAGATGGCTGTATGTGCAGGACATGTCTGAGATATTTGGTTTGGAATCCGTGCAGTCTTCGTAATTCCGCCTTCGTGAAACACCCTGCTGGCAACGCGTACAGCAGCTTGGATTCGACCCGAGACTGATAAGCCAGACGGCGTCGCTTGAGCGGCAGAGAGGAACGCCTCCATACTTGCCAGCGCATCTGGAAGTCTGCAGCTGCCGCCCCATTTCGGCCACCAAGTTGTCGTCTCATTCTACCATCTGCCGACAGCGAAGAACCGAGATACACAATGCTGTCCGCTCTTGGTATGGCATCCCCCTGGAATCACACCGGCTTGCACGAGTTCGCCTGCAATAGTTGGAATATGTCGAAATGCTGCTCGAGGCCTTGTGCGCTGCCCGCCCGGGCCACTGCCTCGGCGAACTGCTGGACATGTTCGGCCGCCGCACCCAGGAGCAGCGTGTCGTCGGCGAAGGCAATATCGGCGAATCGCTTCTGTCGATATGCCTCTGCAGCTGGCTCGGGAAGCATGGCGGCTGCGTCCTCCATCAGTGCTGTCGTTAATGTGATGAACAGCAACGGGCTTGGTGTGCATCCGTGCGATACCCCCGATCGCTGCAGACGCCCATCACAGTTGATGCCCGCATCTTCCACGAAGAAGCGCCTGCTCATCATGGTGTAGTGGATGATGCGCACGCGTTTGGGCGTGATGCCGAAACGCGCAAGAGCATGCACCAGACGCTCAGTGGGCACGCTGTCGAAAGCCTTCGCCAGTCCAGCGCGGGGAACCATACCGACCCGTTGCGTGATGCGTGTGCGAGTTCAAGGTGTCTTCTGGCTATGAAGATGGCGTCCTCTGTGCAGCGGCTGCGGCGGAAAACGTACTGCGGTGCTGTCGCCACTTCCGATGGCTGCTGTGGGTCCAGCGGATTGACGCCGTACCGCAGATTCAGATTAGACATCGCCATCCTTGGGGTCAGCGATCTGCGAAACAGTCGCCACTTTCGAGGGCTGCTGGGAGGTCCAGCGGAATGACGTCGTACGCAGATTTAGATTCGACCTCGCCCCCCCCCCCCTGTGGGGTTGCGCAGTGCGAAACTGTCGCCACTTTCGAGGGCTGCTAGGGGGTCCAGCGGGGTGACGCCATACGCAGATTCAGATATAAACCTCGCCATCACTGGGGGGCTGCGAACTGTGGAACTGTCGCCACTTTCGAGGGCTGCCCGGGAGCCAGCGAAATGATGTCTTACGCGGATTTTGATTCGCTTAGATTTCCTTTCCCACGGGCCGCCCGGAGACCTGGCGGCGCGCTTGCGGGCGTGTCAGGTGCCAGGTGCAGGACTCGGAGAACCTGGCGGGCGAACTCGGTTTCGCTCGCTTTTTGCATTGGCCATGAACAGCTGATCCTTTGGAGCGGCACGGCGACATGGCGCGGGCCGCGCGCTGCTTGTCCAGCGGGCCAGTGGGAAATGACCCTCGTTCCTCATCATACCGCTTTCGTTGTCTTCCTTTTCTTCCTTCCTCCGTCTCACTCCTGCTGTCGCGTTGACATTTCGGCCCCTCTTCCGTCCTTTTCCCGCCGTCGTTCCCACCCCTAGTTTTTTTTCGAGCCAGGGGCTTTAGTCATCGTCTTTCTGCTGTTGTTCTGTGAGTCGCGCAGCGCGCGCGCGCTTCACATACTGATCGCGCAATCATTGACAGATCCTGTGATGTAATCGTATATACTAGTATGGACAACCTCCTGTTGTCATTTGGTGCAGATTGGTTGGGTCCGTCGCAGGGCAATTTACCGTACCCCCGTTCCGCCTCTTCATGGAGTTCTTGCGTGGGTACGGGCATGGATCATTTGTTTATCGCCTATCTCCCGACCCTGATATGCTCGCATTGAAATTTTTTCCAGGTGAAGGATCCAACCATACGCAGTTGCGAATACTCGCCCTGTGAGTATCGCCTTCGGTGGAGCTCCCTATGGAGCCACGAAAAATGTGAGGGTTGTGCCGAAATGGGTGGGGCGGCCGCGTGCGGACACCGCCAGTGGAACTTTTGGTGGAACTCCTTTGGGGCCGCGAAGCGTGTGAAGGGTGCGCCGAGATGTCCGGGGCGGCCGCACGTGGACATGGCCCCTGGGGCCTTCGGTGGAGCTCCCTTTCGGGCCACGAAGCGTGTGAGGGCTGTGCCGAACTGGGTGGGGCGGCCGCGTGTGGTACACCCCTGGGGCCTTCGGTGGAGCTCCCTATGACGCCACGAAGCGTGTGAGTGGTGTGCCGACATGGATGGGGCGGCCGCATGTGGTGCCAGCGCCCTGGGCCTTCGGTGGAGCTCCCTGTGGGGGCACGAATCGTCTAAGGGGTGTGCTGAAATTGTGGGGTGGGGCGGCCACATGTGGCACACCCCCTTGGGGCCTTCAGTGGAGCTCCCTATGGGGCCACGAAGCGTGTGAGGGGTGTGCCGAAATGGGCGGGGCTTCCGCGTGTGGTGCATCCCCCGAGGGCCTTCGGTGGAGCTCCCTATGGGGCCACGACGCGTGTGAGGGGTGTGCCGAAATGGGTGGAGCGGCCGCACGTGGTGCACCTCCCTGGGGCCTTCGGTTGAGCCCTCTATGGGGTTACGAATTGTGCGAGGGGTGTGCCGAAATGGGTGGAGCGTTTTCCTATGGACACCGCTATTGGGGCCTTCGGTGGAGCTCCCTATCGGACCACGACGCGTGTGAGGGGTGTGCCGAAATGGGCATGCGGAGGGCAGAGGCAGGGATGGGAGGGTTGAGGAGGGTGAGGAGGGCAGCGGGTGGGAGACGCGGGGCGCTGTCTCTTCAAAACGAAGACCCAACACTACAGGATGTTTGGGAACTCGGCCTCCAGGGGCCCTTGGCGGGCTTCGGGGCTGTCGAGAAACCTTTACAGGGGTGAAGAGCGGGTCCTCTGGAAGAGGTCTAGACTTTTGGGGAGCCGCGTTGCGGAGCAAAAGTCACGACGTCGGATGTCCGGGTGCGGCGCAGTTTTTTCTTGGCGCGGGCCGCCTGCGATCTCGAGATTTTTTCCCCGGGGCCGGCTTCTCATCTTCGGCCATTGTTTGGCGGTCCCGCGGCCAGGAAGCCGGCCTCCAGAAGCCGGAAGCGTCCCAACAGCTGGCCGAAGACCGGTCCAGCGCCGATCCAGGAATCCTCGCGGACTTCCGAGCAATAATGTATCATGCCGATTTTTGTTCCTCGACACCCGTGAGGTGCGGTAGGCGCGGGTCAGAGGAGGAAAAGGTACTCCAGATTTCGTAATAAAGGGAGGGGGGTCTCATTTCGGGGGGGGTCTCTTCCAGGCTATCTTGGAGGGCCTGGGGGGGTCTGGGGACGATGTTTTGGAGGGTTCTCCCACGGGGGGGGTCTAAAACTTCTCGTCTGGGAGGGTTGAGACCCCCTCCCTTTTATTACGAAATCTGGAGTACCGATACCAAAATGCTTCACGCGTTGTTGCTCTCCTTGGGCCTCCCGGGAGGCCTTCGTCGCCGCGGCTGGATATTCGCCCCGAAAAATTCTGGGCAGAGCGTTCCCCGGGCGAGGTCCCGGGAGCAGCTGTGTCGGTGTCCCCAGACATCTGATGCCTCTGGAGAAAACAGCGTGGCTCCCATTCCCCAGGACGCCTTCTTTCCATCCCGAGAAGTTCTGTGGCGGTCCCGGGGCCCGCGGATGGCCCCTGGAGGCCGACAATTGGCGAACACATGGCATCCTGATTCCGTGCTGCTCCCTCTCTTCCCTCCTGCCTCCTCCCTTCTCCTCCTCCTCCTCCTCCTCCTCCTCCTCCTCCTCCTCCTCCTCCTCCTCCTCCCTCCTCCCTCCTCCTCCTTCTCCTTCTCGTCCTCCTCCTTCTCCTCCTCCTCCTCCTCCTCCTCCTCCTCCCTCCTCCTCCCTCCTCCCTCCTTCTTATTCCCTCCTCCCTCTCCTCCACCCATCTCCTCCCCCCTCCTCACAGCGTGAGGGTGTCAGGGTCTTTTAGTTTCCTCATCGGCGGTGCTCCGCGCCAGCAGCCGGAGCTCACTGTTGCGGCGGAGAAGCAGAGGCCTCAGATCGTCGGTTCAAAGATGGGGTCCTGAGGGATGGGGTCCTAAGGACAGGAAGGGATCCAAGGTTGAATTTCCGTTGCTTGAGGCACCTCGTCCTTAGGACCCCATCCCTCAGGACGCCATCTTTGCACCACCGATCTGAGATGCCCTGGCCCGCCTCGTGGTACGAGCTGCGGTCGATGTGCTGCGCCGACCCTTGGCGGCGCTTCTGGGGGGGGGCTCCCACCTCGCACGGGCGGGCAGTCTCCAGACCCCCTCGCGTCGTGAGAAAATCACGGTGGGAGGTTCTGGGCCATTTTGTGCCTCTGGTGTACTCTAGTCGCCTACACCTCCTTAAGCATCTTGCCAGGAGCAGGTGTGGACCTCAGTTAACCGGTGGCAGCTTCAGAAAGCCGCCACTAGCAGAACGGCTGCGAGCAGAAGCCCGTGACCGTGCCCTCCTTGTCCATGCCCGGTCTATGGGCCGACATTGGATCAAAAGAGGCGACCGCCTACCGAGTTCGCACTAGTTAGTGCATGTTTTGTTTCATCTGTTATACTTGCGCCTTCCATGCCTTGGGAGAGAAAAGCCTCTGGGGGCTTTCGCGGAGCCCCAAGGGCCGTCCAACAATGTCTCAGGATGAAAGGCCAGTCCCGGGGAAGGGGTCGAGATCTTTGGGGGTCCGCGCTGTACACAAAATCACGACGCCAGGGGTCCAGGTGGGATCCAGATCATCAGCGACGCGAGCCCAGGCGCAGGAGACCCCGACGGTTCGCACCGAGTCTTCGGGTGGCCGTGCCGAGTGGATCTGGGCGATGTGCGCTCCCCTCCGACCGTATGCCGTTGTTGGGACCTCTTCTGAAGCCCCTGGTGGGAGTGCGGAGCTCCGCCGACGGCCAGGAAGCGTCGCCGAGCTGTTGCTCTCTTGCACTCTCTTCTCGCCGAGCGGAGGGCGTTCATCCAGCTCCATCACCAGTTCTGAGACTGGGTGCGCGCCATGGTGGAGATCGTGATTGGACAGGTCCTTTGCAGCACTGCCAGGTCCTAGGACACACTGCGTCCGGGGGTGCCAACCAGAGAGTCTAGAGCAGCAGCTCAAGGCTCTCCCCGAGTCTGGCGGTTTAAGTTGACGTGGACATGCGCCTTTCCCTTGGAGGCGGCCGGTGAGTCTGAGCTGGATGAGCCCAGAAGTAGATCAGTCAAGCGGGGTTGGTGAGGGCAAGTCTGGTGAACAATCTGTCCCTGGGCCCCTCCTGGCAGCAGTGAGCAGTGGTTTGAATGCTATCGGGGGGCTCGCCAAGGTGGCAGAGGAGCAGCTGGACGATCGACGCGTGAGCCCGCCGCCGGAGGAGTCGGACGCAGCAGCCTCTGAGGCAGCCCCCCCGGGAGGCAGGGCCATCTGGGACTGATTTGCCGCATTCCCAGATCTCCGACGATATGTTTTTTTTTTTTTTTTTCAATCCGTACGTTTTTCCCAGATTTCCACCCTCGAGGGCTCTTTTCGGCCCTGGGGCCAAAAACAATTAATCTGTCCTGGGCGAAGGACTGCCCCCAGGAAAGCGGTCGGGGGCTCGAGGAGCCGCGGATCAAGAAAATCATATCGGCGGATGCTTGGGCTTCCAGTTTCAACCAGTGAACATGCTGGTTGTCTTCCTTGCTCTGCAAGGGGTGCAGTGATTGCGGCGAGAGCGCTTGCTGGCGGTAGGCCCTCGCGATTTCGACTGTGCGCGCTTAGCTGTATACTCTGCCGGCGGCAGCGGGGGCCGCTTGCCATCACTGGAAACATCGTGCAGGCGCGTGCGTCAGTCGGTGCGTATGCGTTTGCCTGGGTCTGCAGTCTGCGCGTGCCAGTGCGTATACGCTTGCGTGTTCGTGCGCGTGCAAGAACGACGATGCTGCGAGGACGCGCGCTCATCCTACACGCCGAACAGGGGTCGGAAGACCAATTATCCAACGAAGGCGGGCCTCGTGCGAGGGGCGCTCGGATGCCACTGCTGGGAGGGGCGGGGAGTGAGTTGAACCACCTGGATATGCAGAGAGGCCGTTTCCCGACCCACCGCTGGCCCGAGCTGAGCTGTCTTCACCGAGCTCTCCCAAGGGGTCCCCGCGCTTCGCGCTTCGCAGCTGCCCCGTGCTGTGGCACGCGCGCGCCCTCGGTGCTTCATCTATCACCTGGTCGCCCTTCACGTCTTACCTTTTGCCTCACCTCTTAGACGTCCCAGCTTAATGTTTGACGCTTCGCGCAAAGCCAGCAGCCCATTTAGAACCGATGCTCATGGGAGTTGTCTGGAGGAGGGGCGTAGGTAAGCACGAAGCGAGGAGGCCAACAATGGAAGTAGCCCTCGGGGAGCCTATTGACCCGTGTTTGGGCAATTTCAAGGAATTGTGGACTCTGCTGAACTGGGGCCCTGTTGGGGCTCTCTTGGGGCCCTCTTGGGGTCCTCTTGAGCGCTTCTCGGGAGCCTTGAGGGCTCTCTTAGGGCCCTCTTGAGGGCTCTCTTAGGGCCCTCTTGGAAGCCATCGATCAAAGAAGGGGGTTGGTGGTTATGCCAGTGCCTCCCCCCGTCGGGGCCCTCAGAGTCGCCTCTTGGAGGCTTCTTAGGGCGCTCTTAGTGCGATCTTGTGCGCTCTGGGGCTCGTCTTGGAACCCTCATGGGCACCTCTGCAGGCTCTCGTGGGCCATCTTGGAACTATCTTGAGGCCTCAAACGCCCATCGGAAGCGAAAAGGCGAGGAGACAACACACATTGAAAAAGCGAGAAGAAAACACACACATCGAAAGCGCACCGTTTTTGAAGGATGTCGGCAACTAGGGGGCCCCCCTTGGATGCTCCGTGGACACGTGGGTCCGTCTTGGGACGGCCTTGGGGCCCCCTGGAGGTATGCTGGACGCTGTCTTGAGCCACGAGGGGATACCTTGAGCGGTCTTGGAGGCCATCTTGGGCTATCGGGGCACCCGAGCGCCCGAGGACCGTCGAGGCGCCCAGGCGGCCTCGGGAGAGGGCGTGGATGCGTGCAGCCGGATGCGGCGAGGGGAGCACTTGCCGTTCTGCCACGCCTCGACGTGCCGGGGGGGCGCGGTGGTGGACCTTCAGCGGTCGTGGAGGCCATCCTGGGCCACCATCGGGGGTCCTCGTGGGGGCCCCAAAGTGACCCTCCGACACCTCGCGGGGCATCTCCTGCAGAGCCACGGGGGAGGGGGTTAGAGGGAGGGGTAGACCCTTCCCCGAAAGGGAATAAAGGGGGTTCCCTGAGGTTCTTGCGTTGCAATCTTTTGGCAAAGGGTGACTTTGCTATGTTTCGGGCCCCGGAGCCCTCACGGGTCGATCCGTCTCGAAAGAAGCCGCACAAGACGGGGTCCAGGGCTTTGTTAGCGATTTTCCGCGACGATGTATTGTGAATGCCTTACGGCCGGCGCTGCCGACCCTGAAGGCGGAACCTCCCTCGGGACCTCGGGATCCCTTCCCAGGATAATGGGCGTGTTTTCCACCACCACCACCACCACCACCACCACCACCACCACCACCACCACCACCACCACCACCACCACCACCACCACCACCACCACCACCACCACCACACCACCACCACCACCACCACCACCACCACCACCACCACCACCCACCACCACCACCACCACCACCACCACCACCACCATAAGTTTGGAGGGGGGTAAGAGCTTGAGGGGCGTCAGGGTTGAGTAGTGAGTAATGCGTCTTAGGCTGCTAGGCGGACGAAGGATGATAATGGACTACGAGGAGGAGGTAGAGGGAGGAGGGAATGAGGAGGCGGAGTAGGAGCGGAGGAGGAGGAGGAGAGGAGGAGGAGGATGAGGAGGTAGGAGGATGAGTGAAGGAGGAGGATGATAGGACGAGAGGAGGAGATGAGGGGATGAGGATAGTAGGAGGAGGAGGAGGCTGAGGAGGTAGGGTAGGATGAGAGGAGGAGGAGTGAGGAGGATAGGCCCGAGGAGGACCCTCCGCAAAAAAATCTCGACCTCCCCCTCCTACTTATGGTGGTGGTGTTGGTGGAGGAAAACAAGCCCATCACGGGACCTCGGGGCTCGGGCCGGGGCCACGGCCACTGCCACGGCCTGGGTCGGTGCCAGGGCCGGAGCCGGGGCCGGGGCCAAGGGAGGGACCAGGGTCGGCCCCCCCCCCCCCCCCGCAGAGGCGGCGAGGGGCGACGACGACCCGACGGACGTCCCCGGAACATGATCTTTTCCTGCTCTTCCTTTGCTCGCTCCTCGTCCTCGTCTCTTCCTCCTCCTCCCTCCTTCCCCTCCTCCTCCACCCGCTTTCCTCCTTCTCACTCCTCCCTTCTCCTCCTCCTTCCCCTCCTCCTCCTAACCTCCTCCTCCTCCTCCTCCTCCCCTCTCCCTCTCCCTCCCCCTCCCCTCTCGCTCTCTCTCTCTCTCTCGGCCTGTGGGTCATCCTGACGCGGCCATCCCCACCCCGCCAGGGGCTGTTGCTTCGCTCTGCGGCACGCAGTGGGCCGTCTGGTCGAAGGAGGTTGCCTGGAGGAGAGGGAGACGAGGGCCAGATGGGGAGCAAGAGGAGAGGTGGGAGAGGGGGAACGAGGACACGAGGGGAACACGAGGAGAGGCGGGATAGGGGAGCGAGAAGGGACCGCCCCAAGCCCTAGAGAACCCCACAGCTTCCCAGGGAGTGGAGCTCTGGGGGGGGCTTCCAGGACACGGACACTGATCCCTAATAGTGGTCGCGGTCCTCGGCACCCTCCTCCTCCTCCTCCTCCTCCTCCTCCTCCTCCTCCTCCTCGTCCTTGTCTATCCCGACCCATCATGCCCCAGGTACGCAGGCTGGCAATCGGCGGCGGCCGCGGTGAAACTACGGTTTGGATTGGCATCAACACGTGGGGGCGGGCTCGGAGTGGCCGCGGTGGGCAGGCTCCCTGTAGTGCGTCTGAGTGGCGCCTCACGCTGGAGGCGGGTTGGGCGCGCGCCAGCGAGTCGCATTTCGCACCTCACGAGTCGCCAAGCGACCTCGTGTGGACCCTTTTGAGGCGGTGGTGGTGTGAGGGCCCAGAAGGAGCTAAATTGGGGCGCAGGCGGGCGGTTGCGTAAGGTGGCTCTTTTCCACTACAGCAGTCGGGCAAGCTCGACTCAGGGCTGAATTGGGACAAAAGCCTCATGCACCGATGCCCCCCCCTCCATGAGTTACTCCTCCCCCCGGTCGGCAGAAGTGCAAGGCGGATGCTCGACAGCAAAATCGGGGTGGACCCCACTTCTGAGATCAAGAGCAACGGCTGTTGCCCAGAGTGCATTGGGGGAGGGGGACGAGGAAGATACGGGGGATGGGATGGCTCTGGCAGTACTGAGTGTGCAGCGGGAGTGCGAGTGAGTCTCCTGTGGGATCATTCGCTAAGCTGCCGACTGTTCTGGTCCAGAGCTCATCGCCAATCCACCCTCCCTACCGAAGGTCCGTGTCGTGTCGGCGCGGTGACGACCTCGCCGCGGGAGTTCAAGGCTGAACGCCGCCAGTGGCCCAGAATCGGCTGGTGTGGAAAGATCTGGCGATCGGACAGCCGCTGATCGTTCAATATTTGGCGATCCACGCGGTGTCAGGAACCAACGCCAGGGTCGTCACAACACGAACTTGCCGTACCCACCCCACCCCCAGCGTAATCACCACCTCCACCTTGTGCTGGACGCGCGCGGTGAGACAGGCTGCAGTCGACCGTGGTGCCAGGCCTGGACCCGCATTATGGGGCGCTGGGGTTTTTGGCAGTTCCCCCCCGACATCCGTCCCGTCCTGGTGTTTTTTTTGTCGATGTCGTGCCACGAAGGCTCTGGCAGGGCTGGCCCGTGACGTTAAGTTGGAAGCTCTTGGCGCTCGCTCGCAAAAAGGCAAGTGACTCTCGTTAGGTCGCATCCTGTTGGATCATCCTTCTCCCCCGTAACCCACTCCCTCCTCCTCCTCCTCCTCCTCCTCCTCCTCCTCCTCCTCCTCCTCCCCACCCCTGGGTCCCGATCCGTATCAGAGAGCAGCGCGGGTGAGCGAGGGGGTCCGCGGGGGATCCCCGCGGAGACGGCGGGGGCAGGGAGAGCGAGGATGAATGAGGGGACGGGGAACGAAGGTGTGCGTTGGAGGAGAGGTAAAAATCTTGGCAGGGCGCCCCTCAAGGAGTATCCGTCACAGTAACGCTGTATCGCTTGTTCCACAGCCCTTTGCCAGGTATGTGATCCGCGGCCTTGTGGGCAGACTCAGCCTTGTTGTAGGTGACCATCGCCCCGTCGCCGACCGTTCGGAGGACGGTGATCGGGCCGCAGAGGGAGAACGTGGCTTGGACGCTGGACTCTTCCGAGCCCTTGCTGCACTTGATGTGGACCGTTGATGGACCCAGCGCTCCTATCGCAACCTTCTCGACCGGTGGCGCCACGGGGCGGCCTCCACGCCAGGGGTCGGTCGCCGCCGCCTCTGGCGCTGGGGGCCGCCGCCGCCGCACCTCTTTCGCCACGCCGGCCCGGCAGGCTCACCACCGCGGTGTCATCCTCGTCATTCTCCGCCTGCACGGTGTCCTCGTCCTCGCCCTGCTCCTCGTGGGCCGCGTCGAGGGGGATAGCGGGGATGAACGGCGGGAGGTGGAGAAAGCGGAGCTCGTCATAGCCGTCGGTATTGCCGTTTCTGCCGTCGCAGCCAGAAGCGCTCTGTAGCGGAATTCGGTAGTCTGGTGTCCGTGAAGTGACCTCTTTAAGGATATATTTGGCATTGACCACCTCGTACCTGTAATTCTTCTCGCCCCTGTAGTTCTTCTCGCTGTTGA